ATTCTTTTAGATTAATTTCAGCCAGGAGTGATTGTTCACGTTCGGTGAAGCGATCGTTTTAAGCGAGCGATTTAGCAGTTCATAAAAATAGAAAAAACGACAAAAAATGGAAAAAAATGGCAAATTACACGAAGTAAACTTGTAATTGATTCCTCATTCATCCTATTCTCTGGATTGGACTCCATGCAACTTCTACCTGTTCCTAAATTTGAAAATCTGCTTTCTTTTCAGTTTTTGTCGTTTTTTCCATTTTTTATGACTGCTAAATCACTCGCTTACAAAAAAACAACTACAGAACCTGATCAGCGCGTCACTTCTAGCTGAAATTTGGTCTAAAAAGGTTTGAAGAATGCAACTTTCTAAACGTCATATAATTAAATGAATTTGGCACTATATAAAAAGTTACCAAACTTATCAAACCACTCCCCTATAGTATACATTTAGGCAGAACTTGTAGATTAATTATGGCAAAATGCCGGAAAAATAATTTTATCTATTTATAAAATATTTTTTAGCGCAAATTTTAATTGACATGTTTTAATATACCAAATTTAATTTAAACAATCAGTTATAAAATAACATTTTAATAATATGCATATTTGTAAGCTTTTGACCTTTACACCATATAAAATTAGACCTTATTTAGACGTAGAATATATTATTTATTACATTATATTCTCGAGAAGAGTAAATTGGAGGAAAATAGAAAGAGAGAGACAGAGAGAATGAGAGAGAGAGAGAGAGAGTGTGTGTGTGTGTGAATGAGTAAGTTGCTCTTATCTTACACAATTCCCAGTAACAGTTAATTATTAGTCACTGCAGGTTAACTTCATTATGTGATAATATCTTTACTTATTGTAAATATTTCTAAGTAATATTAATTGTATATATTTATAAGTAATTAAAATATTTATTTCGCAGATTTTTTTATCTCATTACATTTTATTGCGGCGACAAGTATACAAGAAAAAACTGCGTCAAATATACATAAGAGTTTTTTTGCGTTATCAAGCACTCAACGAGCTGTTAGTAATTAATCCGTCAAGCGGAATAACGATGCGCAACACAAATATCGAAATTCATCGAACAACGTTAGCATAGAACATATTCGAACTTAATTAGTGCAGATTTACGTAGTTACTAGTATTTTGGAAATAATGCAGTTTCATATTTAACTGCAACAATGATATGTTGGAAAACCGCAGAAGTTACACATTATAAAACACATTTATAAAAACTTCTGTTTTATCAATTTTACATGTACAAAATGATATAAAATAACAATTTCATAATATAACAATATTTATTACGCTTTTTTATAATTTTATAAAATAATTCAAAACTTATAAAATTTATATCTTTAATATAGAAATAAATAAAAAAAAGATCAGTAAGAGTTTGTGACACATGATATTACTATGTGATAATAATAATTATTTTCTTTTTCAATTTGTATATTTTACTATACTTTTATCAAACTTGATATGATAACATGCTCAATTATTTTTTGTATTGTGTTTATTTTAAGAAAATAAAATAAACTGAGATATAGATTTTTCTAGAATAAATGCATTATAATCATGTTATATGTAAAACGCTTTTTTCTATGTATCTGTTTAACGTGTGTCTGAATTACTTAAAAACATATAAAATATTATTTCTCTATATGTACGGATTTTGTATAAATTTAAAGTAACCTCAGTTGTAAATGATTCTTGACATTTATCATACTAGTACGATGAATCTCATCTGAATAAACTCCGTGATTTCAAGATCAGATGTTATTGCATAAGTCACGTTGCATTTGTAAAAACAATAATATTGTATATATAGTATATGTAGAAATATTTTAATCAGATGTTTTTCTTGTAATAAATGCGTCTTCATTACTAACGCTAGATATAAAAAAATACACTTTTCTGATGCGTCTAGTTTTTGTGTATATATATATATGTAAAGTAGACATGCTCTCGAATGTTTTGTTACTTTCATTATAAGGTCTTTTATTTGTCTGAATTTCTTCATGATTTTGTAGCTCAAATGCTGTTGCAAAGTTCACGTTAGATATGGTAAAAAAAAAGTAATAGTAATGTTTTTACTGTTACATAATCTGCTTATATACTGTTAATGTAGAATCTACATGTTATTACTGAAACTAAGAATCGTGATTTTCAAACATTTTTTGTTAATAACTTTTTAATGAACAATGAGCGCCGCTTGAAACCTCTTGAACACTACTCAAAAAAGTGCCTTTTACAACATATATCAAGGTCAAGATCATCAGACCTTAATCCTTTATACTCAATAATTACTAACATAATCTTAATAACGTTTCAACAGCTTCAAAGGGGCGTATTCCGTTTGACCACGGTTTCGTTTGGACACAGTACGATTGCACACGTACTATTGGACACGTACGATTGGACATGGTACGATTGACCACGGTACGATTGACCACAGTACGATTGGCCACCGTAGGATTGACCACGGTACGATTGACCACTGTAGAATTGACCACCGTACGATTGACCACGGTACGATTGACCATCGTACGATTGACCACGGTACAATTGACTACCGTACAATTAACCACGGTACGATTGACCACGGTACGATTGATCATCGTACTGTAGTCAATCGTACGGTGATCAATCCTACGGTGGTCAATCGTACCGTGGTCAATCGTACCGTAGTTAATTGTACGGTAGTCAATTGTACCGTGGTCAATCGTACCGTGGTCAATCGTACGGTGGTCAATTCTACAGTGGTCAATCGTACCGTGGTCAATCCTACGGTGGCCAATCGTACTGTGGTCAATCGTACCGTGGTCAATCGTACCATGTCCAATCGTACGATGATCAATCGTACGTATCCAATAGTACGTGTGCAATCGTAACTGTGTCTAATTGTACCGTGCTCAAACGGATGTCACTCGTTTCAAAGTCTCGCTTTTTGGTCATCGGGGCGGGGCCTGCGTATATGTTGGATACAGTTTTCTACCAGCGCGCAGATGCTAGATCGTGCTGGACAGCATCGAGAGTATCAAAGCGAAGTTACTCCCACTGCCTCGATGCTCTCGTACGCATACAAGCGAGAACCGCATACGGACGAGGTTTTTGTTTGTATGCGTACAAGAACATCGTGACGGTGAGGGTACCCTGCTTCGATACTCTCGATGCTGTCCCTCACGATAGACATATAAGAAATAGACTGCGCGTTTCCTATCCTCTCTGTGGAAAAGGAATGGTCTAATCTCAGACAAGGATAGATGCTTTCACTCGTGTCTTTATTCTTGTTTAGTGACGCGATGATTGGCGGACAAGAAAAGTAGTAGAAATGAGAAATAGCGCAGTGAGGCGATAGGGAAGCGCCGAGCGATAAAGGGGCGACCGTAGGCGATTGACAGTCAATAAGTAGTTATAGTATAGATTAATTTCAATCCGTTATTATTTGTTAAAAATCATTAGTATAAATTTGGAAAAATAATTGAGTGTAAAAAAACACAAAATAACAGAAGTGTTACAGAACCTGTTCCTAACCAAAGCCGTTACATCTGTAGTTATGTAGCGTTATCTGAGCGTTGTCTCCCGAGTAAGGAACCTCCACTTCAGATGCTGAAAGACAGAGACGGAGGCACGAGTGAAAGCATCTGTCTCGCTCTGTAGTTGGACCCACTTCCCCTCTCACACGCGCAGTCTATTTCTTATATGTCTATGCTCACGATCTGGCATCTTTGTACCAGAGTGAAGTTAGCTACCAGAGAGAAGCCTGAGAGCGGCCGCTGTCATAAGAGTTTCTGCTATAGCTTTTCATGGACATGGTTCTATTCCGTGCTATGAGAATACCGACGTAGTGGGGATACGCACACAAGAGAACCGTCGTCATACATCGACATAAAGCTTCTTGCACAATGGACGGAATAGCGATAGCGATAGAAATAACACCAGTTTTAAAGAGTTTATATTTATAAATAACGGTAGGAACATCGAAATCAAACATACAAAAAATACACATGTATCAAAGCAGATCAGAAAACGAAATAAGCAATAGCGATAAAATTTCCGATGAGTTGGGATTCTGCTCTATTGCTTATCGCTATCACTATTCCCTCGCATTAAGCCTCTTGCACAATGCGAGGGAATAGTGATAGCGATAAGCAATTAACACAGAATTCCAACTCGTCGGAAAATTTATTTGCTATTGCTTATTCCGTTTTCTGATCTGCATTGATACATGTGTATTTTTGTATGTTAGATTACGCTGTTCCTATCGTTATTTATGAATATAAACTCTTTAAAACTGGTGTTATTTCTATCGCTATCGCTATTCCGTCCATTGTGCAAGGGGCTTTATGCAAGGGGCTTAATATGTCTGCACTCTTCCACGAGCCCACACGGACAACGGTCTTGCTTGTGTGAGTATTTCCACCACGTCGGTGTTCTCATAGCACGGAATGGAACCATGTCCAAAAACTTAGCACGGAATAAAACCATCGCAAGCGCAAAGGCAAGGTACACACTTACACACATATATTTATATACATGTTAATTGTCCAATAGTTTTACGTTTTGAGAAGAAAATAATAAAGAAGAATAGTTACATTATCGACACGACGTAGTTGTGGACTACTACTTAGTTCGTACGGCGCCCGTTGGCGCTACGAGCAACCCCCCCGCTTGTCCTCCGATCCCCGCGCCTACTTCGCGAAGTTTTGACGCCGTGTGGACACAGCTCTAATATGGCGACTATGCTAATATGCTAGACGCTCATTGGTTCATATAGTTTTATGCTTTGCATATGCAGCATGCAGCTATGTCATTTTGTGTGTGATAGCCCTAACTAGAGATGTTCGATTCTTTTAGAAGAATCGATTCTTGAATCGATTCTGAATCGACTTATGAAAATCGATTCTCTTGGAAAATCGGAATTAAAGAATCGATTTTTTGGCCAAAATAATCGATTTTTTAAGTAATCGAATCAAAATCGAACATCCCTAGCCCTAACAATCACGAAAGTGATTTGTGAGTTGTTCCGTGTGTCGATGGTTTTTACATAAACTTCTATTAAAAAGAAGAATATCTAGGAAGTATCAGAATTTGGAAACATCTTTCAAAACTTCTAAATGGCTACACTCGAAGATAAATCCATTTGGGAAGATGGCGAAGTATATAATTTTCCATTTTTTTGTGTTGAGGTTATGGCATCTGAAATGACAAGCATATTATAAGCATCCTTATACATTGCATTCTATCTTATATGATCAGTTAATCATGTCATTTTCGTTGTAGGAAACTTTGGGAGAAGATGTCCTGCGTATGTCAACAGATGAAATTGTGTCACGCACGCGATTACTGGACAACGAAATCAAGATAATGAAGAGCGACGTGATGCGCATTTCTCACGAGCTTCAAGCACAGAATGACAAAATCAAAGAAAACACAGAAAAGATCAAAGTCAATAAGACTTTGCCATATCTGGTATCTAATGTTATTGAACTGTTGGATGTAGATCCTGAAGGTATGGGAGAAGAAGATGGAGCAGTGGTAGACTTGGATGCGCAAAGAAAAGGCAAATGTGCTGTCATTAAGACATCCACTCGTCAGACGTACTTCTTGCCTGTAATCGGTCTTGTGGATGCTGAATCATTAAAACCTGGTGATCTGGTAGGTGTCAACAAAGACAGTTATCTTGTGCTGGAAACTCTGCCAGCTGAATATGATGCCAGAGTCAAAGCAATGGAGGTAGACGAAAGGCCTACAGAACAATATTCTGATATTGGTGGTTTAGATAAACAGATTCAGGAATTGATCGAGGCTGTTGTGTTGCCCATGACACACAAAGAAAAATTTGAAAACTTAGGAATTCAGCCTCCTAAAGGAGTTTTGCTTTATGGTCCACCTGGAACAGGAAAAACTCTGCTAGCTCGTGCCTGCGCCGCACAGACAAAATCTACTTTTTTAAAACTAGCTGGACCTCAATTAGTTCAGATGTTCATTGGTGATGGCGCAAAACTGGTCAGAGATGCGTTCTCGTTGGCCAAGGAGAAAGCGCCGGCGATAATATTTATCGATGAATTGGATGCCATTGGCACAAAGCGTTTTGATTCAGAGAAGGCAGGCGACAGAGAAGTACAACGCACCATGTTGGAACTATTGAATCAATTAGATGGTTTTAGCTCAACTGCTGATATCAAAGTGATTGCTGCTACAAACAGAGTAGACATTCTAGATCCGGCACTGCTGAGATCTGGACGTTTGGACAGAAAGATCGAATTTCCACATCCCAACGAAGAGGCGAGAGCGCGCATTATGCAGATTCATTCACGCAAGATGAACATGTCGCCTGACGTGAATTTTGAAGAATTGTCCAGATCTACGGATGATTTCAATGGAGCACAGTGCAAAGCTGTTTGCGTAGAAGCGGTATGATTAAAAGAAATCTGCATTTGTAAAACAATAGTTTTCCAAAACCTCTCTTTATCCAATTAAATAATTTGTAAAATGTGTTTATAGGGTATGATAGCATTACGGCGAAATGCAACGGAAGTTACTCATGAAGATCTAATGGAAGCAATCAATGAGGTTCAAGCAAAAAAGAAAGCAAATCTGAATTACTATGCTTAATATATTCTATCATTAAGTATTTATTAAGATATACTCTTATAAAAAATGTTAAAGTAAAAATCTTTTACCATCATACTCTCAACTTTCTAACAAATGCGTATTCATTATTGTTTGTACACTAAATAATTAAGAGAATATAAATTCTCAAGCTGTGCATATACATAAAAGATACATAAATTAATACAAAAGTTTAATAGTTCTAAAAATTATTTATTTACTTATAGCACTAGAAATTTGTTTTTCATACATATGTGAGAAGTGAAGAGAGATTTACAGTTTACTTAAACATTACACTTTGATATATTTGTTTAAATATAAATTTTTGTAGAACTTATAAAGTAATCAAAATTTTCAAGTAAAATGAGTTAAAATTGTGTAACTTGAAATTATTATACATAATAAGATTATTATACTTCGTGAATGATTCTATCGCCTTCTGTGATTTCTCTTTCTGATTCTGTAAAGATATAGGAAAAAAAACATTTATATACACTCCCAAATATAACTTGGGAAGGCATATGTACATATATGTATTTATACACACACCCAAAATATATATACATTTAGTTTTCTTTTTAAATTTTAAAAAATATAACTATGTAATTACATATTATTTTACTCACTTTTTTGGTCCTTTGACAAAACACCAATCAACAGATATAGCTTGACCTAAAATTTCTGTACCATTTAATGCTTCTTTTGCAGCTTGTGCTTCTTTAAATGTTTCATATTCTACTAATGCATAACCTTTCAAAAAGCCTGTTCTTCTATCTAAATTTAAATGTAAATTTTTTATCTGGCCAAATTCAGAAAATTTGTCTTGAATATCATCTTCTTGTGCTTCTTCATGTACTGAATTTATAAATAAGATCCATCCTTCCACAGCTACAAAAATAAAAAATATAAAAATATATGATTAGTTTGTAATAAAAAGTTTTTCACAGCCACATAAAACATTCTTACATCTCTGAGGACCAGGTTCATTATCATCTTCTTCAACAATACTCATAGATTCATAATGACCAACATCATCCTTTGTTGACACTAATTCTGCACCATGGCCTCTACCTTTCCTTCTTTTTGCTTTTTCTTTGAGACGAGCAATACCCTCTGAAAATAATAGAAAGATTTTTACAAATCATGTAACAATACTTGGAAGAATTAATGAACGTGTGTGTTAAAGTTGAGTAAACAAAACAAAGGTTAGATCTTCCAAACTTTTGAGAACTCACGATCTCCTTCGTCATCGACCTCAAACTCTTCAGCATTATCGATATCCAAAACATCCGCCATAATTAGAAATGTCTAAATAACGTGTATAAATTTCTAACAGGAACTGAAACTTGAAATGGATGCTTTCCAACTACGTACACAGCGCGTCATTGAATTGCGGAACATGCACGGGGATCGGGGGGCAAGCAGGGCGGTTGCTCGTAGCGCCAACGAGCGCCGTGCGAACTAACTAGTAGCAATCGGATATCCACAACTACGTCGTATCGATAATGTAACTGCTCTTCCTTCCTATTTTCTTCTCAAAACGGAAAACTATTGGTCAATTACTTAATATTTAAAGAGCCGTCTACAACGGAGAGTTGTAGGCCGTAATAATAAGAAATTGACCAATCACAGACAAAGTACAGAAGAATAATCGATTGTGATTTGTCAATTTCTTACTGTTACGGCCTACAACTCTCCATTGTAGACGGCTCTTAACGTTGACAAATAACGTGTATATATATATGTGTGTTTAATAGATGGATCTATTACTGCCTCCGGTAATTGGAAGGAACGTATATTGTAAAAGTCTCGTTTAAAAAAATATATGTATATTGAATATTAATATTTATATCCCTTACGAAAAAGAACTACTGGCAGTAATATATTGCGGCAGTGGTACGAAAAAAAACTAGGAAAAAAGTTAAAAATTCGCTGATTTACTTAGTAACAAATAGTTTTATTTAGAATCAGTAACAATATCACTGAATACCATTAACATATTAGTTTTAAAGTAATTGATTGCGAAAGTTTCAATGGGCTAAATTGATAGAGCCCGCTTGGTAATGAGAGGGTTCCAAGTTCCAGATTCGAATCCAGTCGAGATGATTTCTGACACAATGGATTTTTTCTACAAGATAATACTAAGACAACATAGAGAATAACCAAGAAAACTTATTCAAGAACATAAATAAAGAATCTAAGTAATTTTTTTATATTATAAATATCATTTTGTTATCAAATCGTGTTGTGCAGATCTTGCTTCATATTTGGCGTCAATTTAGTCTCAAGTTATGTTATCAAGCTTTGCTCGGTTTTTAGTAGCAATTTGCTGTTACTTTTTGTCGACAAGCTTTGGCAACAAAATCCAAGTCTAATGCGGACACAGTTGATGACAATTTGCTGAGTATTTTTGCTAAAAATTGCTGACAATTTGCTGGCAAATTGCGAACAAATTGTTTACTGGGTATACATCACGAGACTGTTCTTTTTCACTTCACTTTCTATACTAGTTTGAACTAAAGGTGTCATATCCTTTTTTTATCAATATATATTTTCACAACCATACATATCTTTTTTTGTTTATATAAAATCATCAAATTCCATTCATCAATAAATTACTTGATCATATTTATATAAATTGTCACATTACAGTAACGCAGACATAAAATTTGTCTTATAACATGTTACATCACATATACATTATTGTTATCTTGTTGTTGCCAGTAAGTAACTAACTATATAATTATTTCATTACAGAATTATATTGCATAAATAAGAAAATTATATAATCCCAATATAAATCAAGTATAACAACTGTTACATTATGTTGCTCCCATGTTATGTAGCAGTTATATTTTGTATTTGCTGGATTAGCTGTAGCACTCCTCTCAGCGCTTTGACTGCTTGTTAATGCGTTTATGCAGTCTATGCGCGCATTGATTAAATCGGAACAACTAAAATCTTGTTTATGCGGGCAATTAATGTATGCCAAAATCGGTAAAGTTTAACAATAGGATTTCAGTGCTTCTGTTTATACAAAATTGCCGAATGCGTACAAACAGAAGTATTGAATTTTTTCATTTGCACTTCACGTGACTTTAAGTCGTATCCTATATTAATGATAAATAAATAATTATTCTATATTAATGATAAATAATTATTTATATCATTAATTATTTATTTATGATAAATATGGAATAATTATTTTTTTATCATTAATATAAAATACGATTTAAGTCACGTGAAGTCACGTTTATTTATCATTAATATAGAATACAACGTTTGTGTCACTAAAAATATCTTTGATAATATTTTTATTTTCACTATTGTTTGATTCGGAGTTTGATCGCTTTCAACAATTTTAAAAGCATTAATAAAGATATTACAATTGGAATTTGTTTATTGACGTGTCGTACATCGTCCATTGTTACAACATAAACGCGGAGTCAGTCTTACAGAATTTCCAAAAAAGCCAATAAATTTTGAAGAAAAAACTGAATTTTGAAACCTGAATATTTATTATATTTACAACTATAAACAATGATGCAACGACGTTGCTGATAACGTAGTCTCAAAAAAGATGTAAAGCGCACAGATGCACAGAAAATCGTTCCGAATTACTAAAGTTTCATGCGCATTGACAAAACGGAACGATTTTAAAGCGCTGCACAGCAGTAATGCACTCTATGCGTTTCATGCGTAACTCGAAACGCACCCTTTGTTTTACATCTAATGAGCAATAAAGATAGAATGATGCGACAGTGCTGATAGCGCGATCCCCGTGCGCAGCCCATGTGTTCATCTATTTAAAATGTATTTTACTTGTCGCGCTGGTGTGTGTCGCCGCGACACGCGACAAGAGTGTCCAGGCTCTTCGATAGAATGTTTAAGGATAAAATGTTAAATGATAAACGTGATGTTCGTAAGAAATGTTTACTCAATTAAATAACTTGATTACATCCGATTAGTTATACAGCATAAAATTTACATGTTTGTTGATGGTCAATCAAATCGTGATATTACTTTAGCATTCGATATTGTCACGCAATAATGTCATTCATGATAGTGTAACGAAGAATGCAAATTAATCACTTGCAAATGTTCAATTATTGTGTCTGTTCATTGCCGCTTAACCGTATAATTTGCTATTGAGAGCCCACAACCGCTAACAGAAGGATATATTTATAATTATATTACGGACGAAATACTTAGTATACGTGACAAAAGAACAATTGAGACTTCGGTGTACATTATAACATAGTTGCCAAAACTATAATATACTTTTCATTCTTACCGCAATCATGCAGAAAATCAAGTTAATTCAACATGTGGAAATGTGTCGTGCTTGAAAAATACTCGAAATAATTATTCATTTTATTATAATTGTACATAATAAACACACACACACACACACACACAAAATCACTCAGTATGTTTGTACACACTATCTACATTTCCTATCGCACACATATGTACACACATATATGTATATGTTATACAGGGTGTCCGACAATCACTTTAACATCTCTCGTAGGCAGATAGAAGGAGAAAAACTGAGTCGAAAAGTCCTGAACCATTTTTTTCTATTATATATAATAAAGGAGTAATTATTAAATAAATCAAGCCAATCAGCGCCGACCTTTAGCCGAACGCAGTGAACCACACGTCTGGTGTGCGTGAGCGCTCCGCGCGGCTCACTGACGTGAGCCCGGCTAAAGGTCAGCACTAATTGACTTGATTTATTCAATAATTACTCCTTTATTATATGTAATAGAAAAAAATGTTTCAGAACTTATCGACTCAGTTTTACCCCTTCTATCTGTCTACGAGAGATGTTAAAGTAATTGTTTGAACACCCTGTATATATATATATATATGTTATATATATACGTATATAAGTTTTGATTATAATTAAAAATAATTTGTTAATTGTTTTAAAATCAATTAAAATAATTTCAATTGAAAAGAGAGTGCTAGAGGTTGATTCTAATAATATATTTAGAATTTTTTAACTAGTTACTGGAAACTGTTTTTCTTAAGAAGATCTAAAAGTTAAAAATTTTGATATATGTACAATAGAGAGCACCATATCGTGCGGCTCCAGGGGAAGTATTTCTCGGAAATTTCTTCTTTAGCTGCTTCTATTATTGCGCGCTCTTCTCGTTCGATCTCGGACCGTTGGCGGAAGAACGGCGTGCGATAGTATAGAGCATCCAAAGGAGAAATTCCCGAAAAATATTTCTCCTGGAGCCGCACGATATGGTGCTCCCTACTGTATATATAGGGTGTGTAAAACATACCGGTACGCGGAGAATTTTGAAAACTAAGCATTTTACGAAAAGATATTTCAGATAAAAGTTGTAGGTTTTAAAGGATCTATTTACTGGACTTATCAGTTTGACCTTGAATGACATCGGCAAAGTCAGGACAAGGTCACCTCGAATTTTTTAAATGGAACACCTTATTTTTTATTGCAAATTATAGTTTAATTCAAGAGCTTTCCAAAACATTACAATAAAAGTTATTTTTATTGAGTACTTTTTGACTTACGAGAATTGAATATTAGAGAATCGCCGGTATTTGCATGCATCTACTGACGTTATCATTCATTTCGAATGTTGCTCTAAAAAACTATGTTGAATAGAAAGTTAGGTTCTTTGTCAATTTTCTGCATCATAAGTTCACAAAATTTGTTTTGATTGAAATAATCGTAGAAAAAGTACCGACGGTACTCTAATATTCAACGTTTGTAACTCAACAAATACTTAATGAAAATAAACTTTATTAAAGTGTTTTGGAAAGCTCTTAAATTAAGCTATAAGAATCTGCAATAAAAAGTAAGAAGTTCCATTTTTGAAAATCAATATGACCTTGACCTGACCTTAGTGGCGCCATTTTCAAGAGCACACTAATACAATTAATATATCCTTTAAACTCTATAACTTTTATCTGAAACTTTTTCGTAAAAGGCCTAGTTTTCGATATTTTTTGCGATACTTTTTATACTCCCTGTATATATACAAGGTGTCTCAAATAAAGTGTTACAAGCTGTTTTCTCAGAATCTAAAAAAGATATCAAAAAAATTTTTTTTAAATTAAATGGTTCAGTGAGGCTAATCTTCTAGTGTATAACAGATTTTTTTGGAAGCACATGCAATAAGATAAAAGGGATCGCCCAACATTTGTTTAAATGGAAACTAGTATTAATTTTTTGTTATTTAAATAACTGTCATCAAACTAAACATTTACGTGAATCATTTTTTTTTATTGTGCATAGTTGCGGAGTTTTCGCGTAAAATTGGTTGCAATGAGAAACATTGGGAAAGCAAAAAGGACAAAACAACAAAAAATATCGTTAGTAGTTTCATTTTATTAAGTGTTCAAAATAATATCCTTGGACTTCTAAGCACAGATTAAGTCTTTTACAAATATTCGCTCGAACATTTGATAACATCAAACAAGTAATCGATACACACGCATTACGTATTCTTATTTTCATGTCTTCTGCAGTTGTAGGAACAGTTGCCATTACTTTATCTTTTGTTAACTTCATAAAAAGAAAAAGAAAAAAAAACTACTGACGATAGTTTTTGTTTTTTTGTCCTTTCTGCTTTCCCAATGTTTCTCATTGCAACCAATTTTTAGCGAAAACTCCGCAACTATGCACAATTAAAAAAATAATTCAAGTAAATGTTATTTAGTTTGATGATAGCTATTTAAATGACAAAACATTAATACCACTTTCCATAAAAAAAATGTTGGGCGGCCCCCTTTTCCTTATAGCATTTGCTTCCAAAAAAATCTGTTATACACTAGAAGATTAGCCCAACTGAACCATTTTATTAAAAATAAAATTTTTTGTTGATATCTTTATTAGATTCTGAGAAAACAACCTGTAACACTTTATTTGGGACACACTGTATATGTATGTGTGTGTGTGTGTGTACATATACAGAATGTCCGGTAATTGCCGCTCGTAAGTAGGTAGAAGGGATTATTCTAAGACGAAAAGTCCTATACCACTTTACAAGATTCGCAATAATTAACGTTATGTTAAGTAATAAAAATTCGCAAATGAGCATTCATCCACGTGCAAATGACAGCTCACGTCGTAGCAACAAAATAGGAGAAGCTAATATAAACAGCATGTAATATACATAAAACTCAATAATTATTGACGCCTAAACATGAAAGTATACATCATATTTGTTTCACCATAATAAATAAGTCTAATGTCAAAATGTGTCGAAAATGAGTTCGTTTATATTTAATTATTTATTCACGACAGGAATACTATAAAACAAAAAGAAAAATTATACATGATATTGATGCTTTGCGGTGTGGTGTATCCCCACATAGCATGGTTAGTAGCACAAACGTTTTTGTAACGTTTATGGAAAAAAAAAAAAAAAAAACACGTTACGGAAACGTTTGTGCTACTAACCATGCTATGTGGGTTAATATTCGAGGATATTCTTCGGATTTGAACCGCGTTAGTGTCATTTTTATACCGACGTTTCGTGAACGTTTCAGCTCACTTCATCAGGGTTTCAAGAGCAGCCTGATAGTAGCCAGTATCCTTGATGAAGTGAGCTGAAATGTTCACAAAATGTCGGTATAAAAATGACTACGCGGTTCAAACCCAAAAAATATCCTCGAATGTTAAAAATTATACATATGTATGTACATATGTACACACACACACACGCGCGCGCGCACGAACACGCACACGCACACACGTATATACTATACATATATACACAGTGTCCCATAATTGTATAAATCTCTCGTGGGCAGGTTTACACTTTACGAGATTCGCAATAATTACAGAGATATTACTTAATAAAGATCTCGGTAATTATTGCAAATCTCGCAAAACGGTATAGAACTTTTTGACTCCTTCTACCTGCCTACGAGAGATGTTACACCAATTGTCGGACACCCTGTATATATGTACACAGCGCGTTAGGAGTTCGAAGAGTAAGCGCGGGGTCGGAGGACAAGCGGGGCGGTTGCTCGCTAACAAGCGCCGTACGAATCGTACGGTCCGCTTGTTCTCCGATCCCCGCGCCTACTCTTCGAATTCCTGACGCGCTGTGTACACACATACACACACAATAATAATAATATAAAACACATACAAATATTGTACTCACTTAAAAATTGTGTTTGATTTATTATACATTTTTTATTTATATTCCTTACTGGTATTTTTCTTTCTCTCTTCTATACTAATGACATCATATAAAAGCGCTTTGGCATTTGCAATTAAGGTCAAATTAAAAAGATAATCGATTCGCATTTGATGATACGCCAATAGTATAGAAGGTGTGATTTAACTGTGTAATATATCTAGGTTAAAAAACAGTTTACGTATCAATCTGTTTGTCGTGTATAAATCTTAATTTTTCTCTCCAAGAATGCCGCATTGATTGTACAGAGGAGTGCACCATATTGTGCGGCTGCAGGGAAAGTATTTCTCAGAAATTTCTCTTCTGGCTGCTTCTACTATCGCGCGCCGTTCTTCTTCGGTCTCCTAGTGGTTCAAGATTGAAGGAGAACGGCATGCGGTAATAGAGGTACCCGGAAGAGAAATTTTCGAGAAATACTTTCTCTGAAGCCGCACGGTATGGTGCACTCCTCTTGTACACTAATCGGCATGTATGTCCTCATTTTTTGAGAGATTTAAACTTGTAGCATACAGATGCTTTTTCGCGTTAAATTACATGCAAGCACTTGAATTGGCTAATCACAATTGAGAAATCACCCAATTGTCAAATCGCCGTTGTGCTATAGCGCGATCTAATCATAAAGAAAACCATCGTACGTCGCAAACCTTACCGAATTTTTTCAGTCAGTTGCTTCGGCGGGACTCGCGGATTTTTTGTTTACTTAATATTTTAAATATGTCTAGAAACGAAATGACTGACTAAAACAACCTTCGATGACTCGCGATTGTTCGAAAAATGAAGGCATACAATTCCGATTGGTTTATAGTACTAGGACTAAAATCATATATTTACATTTGCACGAATTACAATCGTTATTGCTGTATGTATACGTATGTGTACGTGCACATTACACATATACACACGCAGGCGCGCGCGCATGCACACTCATATATATTAACATTCGAAGATGTTTTACTCATGTATATTTTCGCTAATGATCTGAAAGACCATAAAAATAAATTTTATTGTAAGAGATAAGTTATAACAAGATTTTGATCAAATTTTTATCTCATTACTTTAATATTGTTTTATGTATCGCGATAAAACGATCAAGGCTGTTATGTATGTGTGTGTCTGTGTGTAGTATTTATCTATATATATATACAAATTGTGCTTATTGACGCGCTCCACGTGCGGCTTCTTCCAGTGCGCGAACTTTAAGTTCGCGATCACGCTGTTGTTGTCTAAAAAACACTCTTTATTAGTTTGTATAATTTATATATATATGTAATTCAGAGTAGTTGTTTTAAGCCAAAGCGTTATGCAACTATATTTTAGGCAAGTTGTGATATTGATTTCAAGGGACGAACCTTATATACTCCTCGTGATGAGCCATAAGAGACGCATGAGGAAATCTATCACGCTCCATCATGAGGTGTCGTTGCAGTTGTTCGTGGTGTGCTGCCATGTCCGCATATGGTCTTCCCAATAATTCCGCTGGGTGAAGCGCCAAAGCGGGATCACGTGGTATTAACCCGGGACGGGGATAATTGGCACCAGCCGCAGCTGTAAGCCGATGTCAAATGTTAAGAAAGAATAATGTGGCGTTAAAAAGAATCATAATTAGACGCACAAAATTACACACGAATTCTTTAGCTCACAATGAAGAAAGAGTGTGCAGAATTTGCAATGAGGTTTTCGACCACATCGACGTATGTGTCAGAATTATTTACTTTCTCATTTCCAAGCACACGCACACACGCACACTCGCGTCTATTCCTCGACAACACTCACTCGCACTTGCACCTGCGACGGTAATAAGCGACCAACCAGAGTCACAGAGTCGAGCAACCCGAAATTTGCAGACGTGCTCTGACGATATGTTGCAGAAAAAAGAAGAATCGCCTTGATAGGGGCAATCAATGAGAAACACACGAGCTGCCGAGCGACGAGGAATAAGCGCGAGCGGCGATTTCTTAAAAAACTAAGAAGCTTTTGAGGAAATTTAGAAGAAACATCCTGTGTGTAAGGACCTACCCGGCAGGGGAAATCCAGCCGCAGCTGCGGCAACTTCCTGCTGCTGCTGTGCTTGCTGTTGGGCCTGTTGCTGTCCCGGATGTAAGTGCAAGTGCGTATGCGCATGTGTATGCGCGTGAGTGTGAGCGTGATACTCGGGCGAGATGCCGGCCATTTGCAATCGGACCATCGGATCAGCGGCCAAAGCCAGTCGCTCTTCCAACTGGCCATGATGATGAGCCGCCACGGGATGGCCAGCCGCTCCGCCTGCTGGCCCCCCGCCGGCTGCAGTAGGAATCCCTAAACGCGACAGCGCTTCGATCAAATAACTCGAAGATCAGATACGATTCTCATGCCCGATTTCTTCATCTCCAGCTAACTATCGAATACAATCATACGACAAGATCATCCCTTTGAAATACTTTTGTTAAATGTAGATGGAGAGCTGAGGTTTAGCTATAACAGAGTTAACTGGCGCAGAAGAAATCGGCCATTTTTTTGTGTGTTAGATCTCAATATTTAATTCTAATATCGTATCTCCGAAATATGCTTGCGCCCTCATCTAATTCCATCTTCCTTCTTTGTGTAGCGATTTGTTTAACAATCTCTCTTTAATTGTATATTACTGAATCAACTTTAAATTTGAAAGATACCCCAATAAGCAAATTGTGAAAATATTGCACAAAAATGGCATCATGAATGACGAAGATTTTGCAATGATTGCACTAAGATGATTCGCCATAACGCAACAGTGTTGTCAAAATAAAATTTTGTAAATAATATTTGTCAAAAATTAGAAAAGAGTCGTTATGTATTTCCACAAGTATATACATGAATCACGTTGATTTTTTCGCATGCACTTATATTTCTACATGTTTTAAACATCACAAAGCTGAAATTTTTTTCAATTGTTGAACAATTTCTTTTTAAATTTAATTTTGCAAACATACTGCTAAGATGATTCGCCATATCGTTATTGCCAAAATATTATTTGGAAATTAATTTTGTAAACAGTTACAAATATTTTATAAAAGATCAATATTTTTACATCTATTTCTCAAAATATATCTACATAATTGCAAATAACAATTTTCATGCAAGATTTTGTCACATAATTTCATAAATGTTTTCTTATTGGGGTAAGAAATTTATATGTTCGAATAGATAATATAATGACGATAAAAAAACCAAAGTTCCTATTTCCACATTCGCTAAGATCTTAAGTGTTATTCTCGTTAAAAATTACCTAGCCTTTCTAGTCGTTCTCTCTCGAGTTGACTCGGTCCTGGAGGAGCTCCGTAAGCCAAACCAAACTGATGCAAGGCTTGAGGTGGTCCGGAAGGACCTGGTGCCAAACCAGCGGCGGCGTATCGACGGTGTATCTCCAACCAATGTGGATCAACTGGCGGTGCTGGCATTGGTCTAGGTGTACCTTTAAGTAACTCTTCTTTTAAACGATCATTCAACTCTCGTTCGCGCAACTCGCGTATTTCACGTTCTCTCTTCTCACGTTCTAAGTGTTCCAACTCTAGTCTCTGTGCTGCAGCTGCCTCGCGTCCATAAATGTACTGTAACATCGGATCGGGTGGAGCTGGATGCCTGGCAGGCGAGAAAGCAGCGTGAGGCCTTGCGTATTCCGACAACTGTCTCAACGCTGGAGTGTCCGCATATGAACCTGGACGCGTAGCGTATCGATCGTATGGCGAGACAATGGGTTCGAGAGGCCCACGACTAGGCGGTTTACACACCTCAGGTTGTTTCTCGGGCGTAGTCATTTTTCTAGCCTGTTGTGCTGCAGCAGCAGCACGATCGCGTTCCTCTCTTTCTCGTTCTGCTTGTTTACGTGAACGTTCTTCCCGTTTTCTCGCCAATTTAGAGTCTGGCACAGGTTTGAACATTAAATCGGTGCGAGTACACGAATTGTTCTCGCCACGATTCCAATGCCGAAGGAAAATTGCTGACTGCGATCGATGACATTCGGAATCCTCAATTCGTGGTTCCGGTGAAGGTCCTCGAGGACTTACGGGTTCTTCCGATTCGGTCTCCATGTCTTGCTCGATTTTCGGCTCTGACACGATTGGTGCCTGCTGTGGCTGCGGTGGTCGATGATGATGATGAACCGAATTCGAAGATGAAGTCAAACACGTAGCCGACACAAGCGACGGTTTGCGTTGGCTACTGTGTGATGAAGAATGACTATGAGAATTGTGAGAAGAGATTGTTAGAAGTTTTTCGTGGTGCATCGTCGTCGGTTGCTGATGCATACTTGACGAGTGATGATGGCTCGCGATCAGATTTTCGCTTTCTTCTCTGTTTGTAACGCTCGAACTGGTGCTGGCGTGATGTGCGGTCATCATCGTGTTGCTCTCCTGGCTTCGTTGAGGTGAGGGTGGCGGAATGGCGTGAGGCACAGGAGGTCCATAAGGATACGGCGGAAAAGACGGGTAACCCGGTGCGTATCCAGGATAAGCGTGGGGATGGTATGGATGCATAGCGGTAAAAAGCGAATGATGCATCAACGGATGATGTGGATGGAAGGGATGGGCCATGTGCGGGCTTGGCTGTTGTGCTGGATGCATAACTGGTTGAGGTATTGAACTTGGCGGTGGTGGTAAACTAGGTGTTGGTGTTGGCGTTGGTGTTGGCGATGCTGCGACTGGTTGAATTGGCGGTACCGTCTGACTTACCGGCTGCACGGAGTGCTTACTCGGCGTAGGTGGTTTACTCGCACCGTCTGGATCCTTTTTGATATTATCAAGACTCGGACCGGGGAAAGAAGAGCTCTGAAAGCCCGGTACTTTAACCTCTTTCAGGCTTTGCAAAGGATCAGGCTCTGGTGGTATGATCTCCTGTTTGATCTTCAAATTTTGTGGCTCCATTGGAGGAGTACTGGCCAAATTGTACATACCCACAGACTTATCAGGCAACATTCCGCTGGATTGTATTGGCTGAAATAGACTGCTAGGTTCTGGTCGTTCAGATTCGTTATTCTCGTTCGTACGTTCCGGAACGCGCTCTGTCATCATACGAGAATCGGGAACTCGACCGTCGCGTGTTCGTTCGCCTGACGATAACCGTTCGTCCGTCAATCTCTCAGCATTTCTGTTTTCAGATGACATCATAGTCAGACCGAGTGGTTGTGACGGCGGACTCGGCATAGGCGGCATCTGCGATATCTGACTGATTGGACCGCCTATACCGGTTGATACATTCTGCGAAATGTTGAGATTTAACGGCGGTGGTCCTGACATATTTTGTGGTAATGACTGTGCAGAAGGCAAGCTTTCGCCATGGCTGCGAAGGTTTGTTGGTCCCATACTCGTGCTTGGCGCCATTTGCGGCGGTATGTTTTGTGATAGATTTTGCGGCATATTTTGCACCGGCGGCGGAGGCGGCACATATTGCATGCTGAGACTTGTAGGTAGTCCTGCGCTGCTCTGTTGCTGACTGGGCGATATCACCGGAATCTGCGAACTTGGCATACCCGCTTGCGAACTTACGCTCGTAATAATACCAGGTATCTGTTGTGACAAGTTGCGGAGCGTAACTGCAGATCCGGTATCGTTTGGATTCGCTCCAATAGACTGTGCAGATGTGCTCAAATTTAACTGAGTCGGTTCAGGTTCTTTGCCCACTTCTTCATTGGACATTGTCGGTGACATAGTCGACTCAATCGGAACAGGCTCCAGTTTCAATGGCTGATTCATAGCCAGCGGAACGTCTTCCGCTTGGTCCTTACTCTGATCTATCGGTTCTTGATCTAGTAAAGTAGGAGGCTTCTTGTCTAAACCGTGTATGACTGGCACCGATATCGGTAGACTTTGTATCGCGGTTGGTACCGGTGTAGATGTCGGCGTTGGCTCGGATGGCTCTTCAGACGTTGTGATAGCTGGGCTGCTGATCGGTTCTTCTACACCGGTCACGCCGGCAACCGTTGGCGGTGTCGGTTGGTTCTCGTTGGCGTCACCTTCTGTTTCACGCTCTGGCTCGTCCATCAGGGAATTACTGTCGGTCGTGAGCGATTCGGACGGACTATCGGGCCGTTCGCTGCCGCGTTTTCGCTTCTGTACGTCCTTATCTTCCTCGGTACAGACGTCTTCCACCTGAATCGAGCGTTTTTGAGCTTTTTTCGGCGTATCTGCTTTGCCAGACTTCTTCTTATTTTTATCAGGTGTTTGCTGTTGCTGTCTATCTTGATCGGGCGTGTCTGTGCCACCTGTACGTCGCGGTCTTGCGGGTCTCGGTGTCTCTTTGGCTTTGTTCCGTGTGCGCATTCTACCGGGACTCTCCGGTGACTCTGCAGGCACTGGGCGAAACAAATATGGTGGCGCGGGAGGCAATTCTCCAGTTTTTTTCAGGTGTGTTCGACATTCCGCACAAAGCAACAGTCGATCTTTACCAGCTACTTGATAATCCTTCGAGCTACTAGAGAAGCAATGTTGACAAGAATGTGCAGCGCCGTTCGTATTCGTATCACGTGAATCGCTGTCTTCTTCCGAGTTATCGTCCTCTGTCACAGAACTGATTTCACCACCGGGATTGTGGCTGGCAGGTGTGCCGACCGGCACAGTTTCCGCTTCGGCTGCGACTTCCTTTGCGCTAATATTAGACGCCGGCGGTGTGTCCTTAGTAGGTGTCGGCACTTCGTCCTTAGGTGTGCCGGCACGTGAATTGCGCGTGTTACGAATTCGTCGCAGCGAACTTTGTCTGCGTCGTCGATGGGGCCGATTATTATTCGCAGCTGGCGTCTTCTTCCATAAATAATAGAACTCAACCAACTCCGGCTGCGCAGAAATCAAATATTTTATTGCGTCTTAAATTATCGTTTTGGCACAGTTGTTAAGTGCAAAAGACACGTTGCATATATTTGTATTACCGAAATAAAATCTAGAATAAAATTACACACAATTTATAGAAGCATTTTATTAATCAAAATAATCATTGTGTGTTGGTTCTTTTTTTCATATAGAAAAATTTAGTACACTTTAAGTTAAATCTTTTGGAAAACAAGAGATTTGTATAGATATACACATATATCGACATTTTTTCTATTCTCTAAATATTTTTTAATAATCAATTAATATTAAAAATTAAATTGGTACCAATGGAACTTATAAAATAAATATTAAGCTTAAATAGATATATCCAACTTTTATATATATACCTAACTTTTGTATTATTATATAAAAAAAACTTTATATCAAAGGCAATACACTAATCTTAACACATTCAAAATCGACTATAATCAATTAACTAAATTCTTCAAGCTTGCATAACCGATTACGAAAAAAAACTTAATATAATATTCACAAATATTGAACAAATGATATCGAATGTGTATTAATTCTGTTACAACATTCAAATAAAAATTATTGCAAAAACATGAAATTCTCTTTTTTCTCTAATGTCTAAAACAAAAACACGATATAGCTATAGTTAGCACGATGTAGTTACACAAAGTATTGCCGACAAAAAAATAAGAAATTTTCGAAATTTTGAAATAAATTTCTTCCGCGCAATATTTTGGTAGAAAAAAATTGAGAAGTTTACAGGTTTATCAAACATGTGAATTTACAACGGTTAACTTTTTTCTCAATTCTCACATGTATTCACACTTTCTCTCTTCCTCTCGCACTATATCACTACTTCTATTCTCGCTCGTATGTAAATATATAAAAAAATCTACACCATTTATAAAATGTTATATATATTACCTCGATAAAGTCGCGAATTGTTACCGTCTTAATATAATCTATGTCTTATATATACTTCTCTTATATTAGATGCAATAAGAAAAAAATAGTGAAGACAAGTACCGCACAATCCAATAAAGCGCAGCAGGTAAAACCTACAGTAAAGCAAATATCTTTACCGTATCCTTGTGAGGTAGAAGATCCTTCCGAATACGCGAAAAGTTTTTTCCGAACTGCCGTAGACCCTTGACGAATCGTTTCTGGGAAGAAAAAAGAACGAAAAGCATATTTAGTAGAAAAATGTCACATTTTTTGCATTGTGTTAAATCCAAAACTATACGCGACAAAACACAAACTTTAGAGAAAAGTAATAGAACAAACAACATACAGTTTCCTCTTCGGACCACTTCTTGTCGATGCCTTTCGGTACGGGACATTTGACGAGTGCCTGAAGCGCTCGGCCGGGATCATAGCCAGAATCGTGCAAGATGTCCAACGCGTTGATGGTAGTGTCGTCTCGTGATGCAGACACGCAACCATCGTCCGGAGACCCGCCGTCACACATGCCTGCAAATGCGGCCATCGAGCGAGCCGCCCTCAAGTACATAAGCAGATCTCCGTCCAAAGCCATGGCTGGTATCCATCTTAGCTCCTCTCGTTCCTTGGAGAATTCGGGATCGGGTGGCAGCTCTCCGGGAGGTATACCCGGCCGATACTCAGGCAAACGGGCCTGACAAGAAACCAACTCCTGTAAATTCCCAAAAATTCGGGATTGTGTGCGGTTAGCACCGATATAAGCAATGTAGTTCGTACACACATAACAACACCTATACTCCAGCCTTTCTCTCTCTCTCTCTCTCTCTCTCTTTCTCTCTCTCTCTCTCTCTCTCTCTTTCTCTCTCTCTCTCTCTCTTTCACACACATACGAGCAAACAATGTCCTTTATCAACTTCTCTTTCTTTAGATTTTCGCGAGAAAAGGACACGCGCGCTTATATGTGAATATTGTTGCACTCCGTGTTATAAAGATATATACAAAAGACAGACACGCGCGATAAACAATTTTACGTACAATGAGAGTAGTGTAACGACGAAAGTTGATGATAACTATATGTTAAAGAGATAGACGTGTTACATGTACCGATCAAATTGAAGGATGATGGAGTTATTTTTTGCATTAACAGAGACAAAATTTCAAACTAAACTTCAAACACGAGGAAAAAAACAAACGACAGGCAAGCAGATCTAACAATATATGTATTAATCACAGATATAAATGTTCGAAACATTTAAGTGAAAAAAAGAAAAAAAAAAGAAAAAAAAATTTCATTATAAGCGTCGATTATATAATATTTTAACACAAAAAGTTGATTGATTTTGTTTCTGTCTTTCATGCGTATATATATAATCACATGTTCTACATACTACTGGAAAGTTTGAAGTGAAAAACGCGGTATTGAATGCAAAACATTCCGCGTTAATAGCCTTTGTTCATACAGATGGTTCAAGTAAGCAATCGCGAATAATTATTGTATGTTGACAAGTACTAAACACTGCAAACTTGCAAGTTGATCCATGCGTTCGCGCGATAGTTTTAATTTGTTAATTATTTCACCGTGACTGAAAACCACTCTAAATTCTGAAAAAAATTTTGTCACCTTATGTCAACGAAATGATAAGATAAATATGCCAATAATTGAACTATTATTTAGTATTAATGACTAGATATTTATTAAAAGAAATAATTATAACAAAATATTTTTACATGGAAAGCTAAGAACTAATATTTAAAAATATTTTTAAAAATACTGAAAACATTGAGAATTGTCATGTTTACTATTTCTAATTATTTCTTTAATAAATGTCCGGCCATTGGTATGTAATAGTGCGATATTTATCTTATGCACGTATAATTTGTATTCATCTTACATGATCGTTTGCATAAAACGTATGTCCCACGTTTATAGAACAGTGTCGCTTACAAACAATTTACATTGTTTGCTTTATCCATATATTACACATATTGATCATAATCGCTCGTATGACACAACAAATATCATTGAGAGTTTAACGAATATGTTTCAAGCGTATTGCAGATAAAATAACGAAGTCCACATCCAGGAGCTAATTACGCATTCTTCGATTTCGACTGAAATTTTTCCGTTTCTTTTTTGTTCTTACAGTAGAACAATCTAAAGTATTTTTTTCAAATTGATGCTGAAAAATTTATACAATTTATAACATAACAGCTATTCCTGAAACATTTTCGGAGCTCTTTGATGCGTAATGCGTTAGTTGAACCATCAAAATCAGTATAATGTATCGACGATAATTTTATAACAAAGATATTTTTATATCTTGTAAAATTGTTCTTTTTTCTCTATCTTTATAGATATATAAAAACCGATCTCTTCACATTTACTCTTTTAGTTATTCAGTATCTTTTATTCGATAGCGCTTTAAGTTTTCTTCATGTTTTAAGTTCCATTCTAATTAGAAAACTAAATGTTTTTAAATTTAGTAATGAAGGCTCAACTCTGCCGCGGGGCTTTTGCAATACAGTTATTTTAGCAATATAAAATATAATTTTGTTTCGTACATTTCTTGCTGCTTGAATATCTATTAGTATTTCAATCGATCAAAGTAGCAAACATACAAATATAAACATAAAAGTTGCGTTAGAAGCTACAAAAAAATATTATATATGAAATATCGATTCTGAATAATTTTATCGATTTGAAAAAACTATAAAGCTGAATCTGTACACACACACGCGCGCGCACGCACACGCACACGCACACTTTACATCACTCAATTTCACCTCACATATAGATTAGATTACACATATACCATTATGTGTATATACATATGTACACGTATACATATATGTATACATATACGTATGCATACGTACGTACACATATATACAGTCTTTGTGACAATATTTCATCGATAAATTGTTTTTTTATCTGTAATACTTTCCCGAGACAGCCCGATACGCGTTCAAATATGTATACACATACACAACAACATCTATATGTTTACTTGACTTATTAATGTAAAGAGCGTGAAGATCTTCATCATCTTAAGTCCATTTTTTCTTTACGGTTTTTTCGTCTTTATCGTTTTCAGCAACATGCACACACACACACACGCGCACACACATACACGCGCAACTTTATATATAAATGAAAAAGTTGTACATAGAAGTACGTAAGAGAAATGCAATTTCTTGTCATATATGATGAATACAATAAAATATATATCTTTTTTCTCTATAAACACTCCGTGACAAGAGATCTTCGTTATCACAAGTTGAAGTCCCACATAAAGAACAAAAATTACTTTTGTTGTTATTCATATATCTGCGATAAATATTATAAATTGCACGTAACGTAATAAGTTGCATCGTTATATATAAACAGTGATCAATCAACGTGAGACGCTACAATGGATAACTGGTGATAATATTATACATTTGATCCACACGCCCCTTATTTTTGTAGAATAAATGTTTCCGCTACTAGCACATAACTTTGGGACTAGGCACATTATATGTATAGGATACAGTAAACAGCTAAGTAGCAAGAGAGAAATTTTGTGTGAGATATATTAGGCAAACCTGATGGGAAGGGCCGACACGTATCTCGCCCTGGGTGCCTGCTGACATCTCCCCCTCCTCCGAAGCCGCACTGTCTTTCTCCAGCGTTCTGAGGCTTTGACCTTTGGATTTTCAGTAAATTTCTATCATCCACCCCCTGAACCCTATGATTATGTCACAAAGTACGTTTGAGAAGTAATCGGACAACCAATTTACTGTTGTTTAACATGCTTGTCTTTAGGTTAAAGTTCTTTTACGAAACAGAAACGAGTAAGTTTTTAAAACGACAAAGAACACGCGGCGCTTTCTTTTGTGAAAAAAGAAAAACTGTTACCGTAACGGAACATCATTGCACAAATTTATGTAATGATGTTTTGGAACGCTCTTGATAAATATTTAAATCCATATATCGACATTTTTACTTTAGGAAAGATAATCTCGAACAAATCTTTAAAATAATGTTTGACAATAAATAGAAAGTTTTCGGAAATAAAGATAAACATAAGGTAAAATCTCATCGTACGTTTAAATCCTCTAATTCCTGCCAAGTTCTTTGGAAGGAGATAAAAGAATAAGCAAAATAAGTGAAAGTGATATTTTTAACGTAAGTACTTCTGCTTGTATAACCATCACGCGTATTATACTGCATAAATGAACTACTATAAATGTTTATATTCACATCTTAAATTTTCTCTCTGTTCACGCATTTACTCGTATGCGTGCGCGTATACTAACACAAGTAATGCACGCGCGCGCGCGCGCGCACACACATTCACGCGCGCGCCAATTATATATACATATATCTCTATACATATATTTATCTTTCTCTCTCTTACTCATTCTTTCTTTCTCGCTCTCTCTTCAAAGTGGGTTCAAGTCACGGTGAAAAACAACGAACAAGCTATACAAAATTCTAGAAATTCGCTTGGAAAGAACCGATCACGCAAGAATCGATGCTGAATTCTCGATCGTGGACAAATCGCAAGAAAAAAAAAGGGAGAACGTTCTCTCATTTCCCTCGTGATGATGGATCATTCAAGACCGCGCACGCGGATCGGATACTTTCGCGCAAGAAATCAAGATCGGATTGGTGCAAATTCTCGCGCATAATCATCGGCGCGAGACTTACACGACAACGATCAATGCAAAGACCAAAACAACTTAAGAGAACCGAGGACAACTTACCCGTTATTTCCAGGCAGCGGACCACTTTATGTGTATATGTGTGTGTGTGTGTGTGATATATATATGTATATACATATATCTTTCTCTCTCTCTCTCTCTCTCTCTTTCTCCTTCCGCTTCAACGACGTGCACGCGTCATCGTCTCTTCGTGAGGATGAGATACGCCGTTTCTCAGATTCATTTGACGCGTACTATTTGCCGACAACTCACAATAATACTACTGATTGAGAAACTCTTCGCGATGATTGCTTGTACAAAATCGCGGCGGAGGTCGTCAACGATCTTCGTCTCTTTGCAGCACATCAGTAATCACGAACCCAAACGCAGCAGCCATAATACAAGCGCACGCTAGCGACGCGACCAGGCGTACTCGAGAAGCAACATCGATTTCGAGATTCTTGCGAGACACTTCCATATACATATAAGAAATAGACTGCGCGTTACCTATCTTCTTTGTGAAGAAGGAATAGCCAAAACGCAGATAAGGATTGATGATTTTACTAGATAGAAAGTCTCTCAGGGAGGGTGCTTTCCAGATACGTATACAGGCAACACTGTGTAACACAGTGTCCACTGGTGTGAGTGAGACGCACTGATACGCTCTTTCTCACACTAATGGACACTGTGTTACACAGTGTCGCCCTGTGTACAAAGTTGGAAAGCACCCGGAGAGAGTTGCAAATTCGTAACGCCACAGTCGTTTCTGATTGGACAGAGAAAAAGCTGCCCACTGAACTATACTCCGTTCACTTTGAGAAAAGAAACCGGATGAACGAAAACTTGTCCGTTTTAAGAGCCGTCTACAATGGAGAGTTGTAGGCCGTAATAGTAAGAAATTGACCAATCACAGACAAAGTACAGAAGAATAATCGATTGTGATTTGGAGAAGATTTTAATTTTTTTGCTCCTACAGCTACTTGTTTCTTTTTATCAAATTTCAGTGAGTCTTTTGATTTGCTTTGTGTAAAGAAATCTCCTTTTTCCTGTGAGGTTTCTTCAATTGGTTGAGACCAAAACACAAGACCAAATAAAGGCATGTTTTGAAAACCGTGCGCCGTCTGGTGGAAAGCTACCGCTCTCCCACCAAACACAAATCAGTCATAGAATGGCGTATGGACTAACCGTTATAGGTCCAAGAGCCACAAGCGCACCAAACCAAACCTACTATAGAGACTCTTCCAAGCCTAATGTCAATCATAAGTTCCTAGAATGGCGTATGGACTAACTTAATTCGGTCCACTGAGCCAATTTTGCACCAAACCATACTATAGAGACTCTAATTTCCGGATACAAGCGTGGTTTCAGTTGGCTTCGTAATCTTCAAACATTGTTTCGTGAGCCGGTTTGTCATTCGATTCGGACGATCGCGTAGCTAAAAATCAATTGTAAGGACGAAAGTTTTCACTATAAATCCTAGCCATATCTTTTTGTGTGAAAGAAAAAATAGCAAAATGGTAAATCTGAAAAACGACGAAACTGTGATTGCGGGAAATAACCCGCAGAAAACAGTCAAGCAATTGCAGAAGGAGGCCAAGAAATTGGCCAAGTTGGACAAATTTCAAAAAAAGCAAGGGAAAATAGAAAATGAAAAATCAGTAAATGTAAAAGAAGTAAGTATGCGGTATTGATATGTTTTGAATCCAGTACAATGGATATTATTAAACTTTTTTAATATCCATATGGAGTCTAATCACACTATTCACTAAACAATCGTAATTATAGTTCAGAATGAATTTTACTTGGCCAAGAGATCTTGAATGTTCTAATACTTAGCATTTCGATTTGCGAATAATAGCGGTTACATATGTAAGAAAAGTAGTAATATTGTATAATTTTTTTATCCAAAAACATTACTAAACACAAAGAAATTTAGGAGTTTAATTAGCTTGAATTGTTAACAGAAGGAATATTATTGCATGTTTATCTGAATCAGTTATATTGGACTCTTTTACTATCCAAATTGTATTTAAAAAAAATATATATTTTAGAAAAATGATAAAAAAAAGGAAAATACATCAATTCTGTATACTATTAATACACCATCTGGGAAGAAGAAAGATATTACATGTCCAATGCCAGATGTGTATAGTCCCCAATATGTAGAAGCTGCATGGTATGCTTGGTGGGAAAAAGAAGGCTTTTTTAAACCAGAATATGGAGTATGTAAAAGTAAATGATTTACAAGAGAATATTTTTATTTATTTTGAGATAAAGTTCTGGATGTAGTGATATATTAAAATCTTATTTTAGAAAAAAGATATATTGGAAGAAAATCCTAAGGGAAAATTTGTGATGGTAATTCCACCACCTAATGTAACTGGTTTTTTACATCTTGGACATGCTTTAACTAATGCTGTAGAAGATGCTATTACCAGATGGTAAATGTTTTATAGGAACAAAATCTGGATATTTTATGGCTTTAAATAGTTTTATGTATATGACTACATATTGTTTTTTTATATATTATTCTTTGTCAATATAAAAGCTAAGAATAAAATTCAAGAATAAAATTAATAATATATGAATAAGATTAGAATTTAATGTATTTCTTAAATTGTAATTTATTTAGGAATCGCATGAAAGGTCGCACAACACTTTGGAATCCAGGTTGTGATCATGCTGGTATAGCCACTCAAGTAGTTGTAGAGAAGAAACTCTGGAAAGAAGAGAAGAAATCACGACATGATATTGGTAGGGAAGAATTTATCAAGAAGATATGGCAATGGAAGCATGAGTGAGTGTAACAAATATAACTTAGTAATATATATATAATTTATGTTGTATAGTATTATACTTATTTGAAATATGTTTCAGAAAAGGTGACAGAATTTATTTACAATTAAGAAAGTTAGGAGGTTCCTTTGATTGGAGTCGTGCTTGTTTTACAATGGATCCAAAATTATGTAAAGCTGTTACTGAAGCCTTTGTGCGTTTGCATGACGAAGGCATTATTTACCGCAGCAGTCGTTTGGTTAACTGGTCATGTGCCTTAAAAAGTGCGATATCAGACATTGAAGTAAGTATCATGTAAATATATTTATTTATTTCTAGTTTAAAAATGTTGTATACTTGACATTTTTTTATATTTACGAAACGTATAAGTGTAAAAATATAATTAAAACAATATTTAATATTTAATAAAAACAGGTTGATAAAAGAGAATTAACCGGTCGAACCTTGCTTTCTATTCCCGGTTACGAAAAGAAAGTAGAATTTGGCGTTTTAATATCTTTCGCTTATCAGCTCTTTGATGTGCAAGACAAAATAATTGTTGCAACTACTCGTGTCGAAACTATGCTGGGAGATACCGCTGTTGCGGTGCATCCGAACGACAGTAGATACAAGCAATACATTGGAAAATATGTGCAACATCCATTCTGTGACAGACGTATACCAATTATAGCAGATAAATTTGTTGACATGAACTTTGGTACAGGTAAGTTTTTATGGCGCGATAAACTACTGAAAGCGATCAGTGAAAGTGGGACAATTGCGAAAGTAGACTGTGACTGATGGAACTTTTTTTTCTTTTAAGGTGCTGTCAAAATCACGCCAGCTCACGACCCGAACGATTACGAAGTAGGAAAAAGGCACAATTTACCATTTATAAATATTTTAGACGATGACGGAAATATCATTGGAAATTATGGAAAATTCACGGTATCAGTAGTTTTTCTTTTTCAAAATATCGTATGTATATTGAGATAAAAAAATGTGCACGTCAAATAACTTTTTATTTAGGGAATGAAAAGATTTGAAGCTAGAGTAGCCATTATTGACGAACTGACAAAAAGAAATCTATTGATTGATATAAAAGATAACCCAATGGTGATTCCTATATGCAGTCGATCCAAGGACGTCGTGGAACCTCTTGTAAAACCGCAATGGTAAGTGAAGGTGTCACTTTCTTTTTTAGAAAAATATTCCATATTTTTGTTTTTCTCACAACTAGGTACGTTAGATGTGACGAAATGGCTGCTCGAGCTAGAGATGCAGTGAGCACGGGTGAGCTGAAAATAATTCCAGAACAGTTCAAAAAAACTTGGTACATTTGGATGGACGGTATCAGGGATTGGTGTATTTCGCGTCAGCTGTGGTGGGGCCATCGCATTCCTGCTTACGCGATTAAATGCACTAATTCTCATGCAAACAAAGTAATTTTTAGTGATTTCCGACTTGCTTTAAAAAATTGCGGCAAGTTGTTTCAAACTTATACATTAATTAATGTTTTTTTTTTATACAGATAGATGAATATTGGGTGAGTGCACACTCCGAAGTTGAAGCCAAAGAAAAAGCAGCCAAAAAACTAAACGTTGATATAAATAGCATTATTGCAGAGCAAGATCCGGATGTATTAGACACTTGGTTCTCCTCTGCTCTCTTTCCTTTTTCCGTGTTTGGCTGGCCAGACAAAGTATGTGTAGTGCAATTTGTTTTTGATTTTTTTTTTCAAGAAAGTAAACATTGCTTAGAAAAAAAGATAAAACAAAATTAAATATGTTACATAACGTTTTTTTAGACTCCTGAACTTAAGGCATTCTATCCTGGAACACTTTTGGAAACTGGTCATGATATATTATTTTTTTGGGTTGCCAGAATGGTTTTCATGGGCCAAAAACTTTTGGGTCAACTGCCTTTCAAGTATGTCACGAACTTGTGCTATTCGTTTTACGTAGTAAAACAACAATGTTTGCGTTATGATACAATAAAACATATTTTGCCACTGAAAAAGACCCACTTCAAAGGTCAAAACGTTTGGCATTTAAAGGTCTATTATACATGAACATCGTGTATTCTGTCTTGTATTGGCTTCTATTTACTATCTTTGATCATTTCATTTCAAGTCTCTATTTCTTATTTCTTATTAAAACATTTTTTATAGGGAAGTATATTTACATGCGATGGTGAGAGACGCTCATGGGAGAAAAATGAGCAAATCATTAGGAAATGTGATAGATCCTATGGATGTAATTAGAGGAATATCTTTAGAAGTGAGTGCAAAAACGATTTTTCAATTTTTAACATATTTTTTCTTGTGTCATATTGCAAATTGTATACTGAAACGTTTTCTTTTGTTTTTGTTTTTTAGGATCTCCAGAAGCAATTGCTGGATTCGAACTTGGATTTGAAAGAGTTAGAACGAGCTCGAGAAGGCCAGAAGCGTGATTATCCGCAAGGCATTCCTGAGTGTGGAACAGACGCTTTGCGATTTGCTCTTTGCGCTTACACCACTCAAGGTCGAGATATAAATCTCGATATACTCCGTGTGCAAGGGTACAGATTTTTCTGTAACAAAATATGGAATGCCACCAAATTTGCTCTTACTTATCTCAGACCTCAAGTAAAACATGATACAAATGATACCGTAAGTTTCGAACTAAGGTTTAAGAAGATCGATTATTCTCATAAAAAAAAATCGTTGAGTGCAATAAACACAACAATTGTGATATAACAGGTTGGAGATGTTCAATGGTATCGGAAAACTTTAAGCGAATCATGTGTGCAAGAATCGCTGAATAACTATCTGGCGGATTATCCATATCTCGACGGTTACACACCTTCGCAACTCGATTCGATTGTTTACCGATCAATGAGAGACTTAAATATTAATTTCATGCTTCATCCACATCTTGAACGTTGGTACAATCATATATCAACGTTCACGAACGAAGAGAAAGCTGCACTTCGTGCGGAGCAAAATAAAATAATACCGCAACTTAATTTATACAAGTGTCAAAGGAATAACGAACGAAGTGACGACGAGATATTTGAGGTAACACTCTACTCGATATGTAAGGCATATATGTTTCCTGAAAAAAGTGAAAACATTGATCTCATCACGTATGTATTTCTTATAATAGTTAAGTGGAAATGAGACTAATGTAGATTTGTGGATGCTTTCACGAGTGAGCCATGCCGCCAAGACCTGTGATGAAGCAATAACGCAATACGACTTTGCCTTGGCTACGTCTACTTGCTACAACTTATGGTTGTACGATTTGTGCGATGTTTATTTGGTTAGTGTAACCAACAGCTTATAACAATTGATACACGCAAAACAAAAAAAAACCTTCTGTAAACAAATAACGCATAATTTATATTTCCAGGAATATCTTAAGCCAATATTTCAAAGCGAAGATGATGTGGCCAAATCAACGGCGCGAAAAGTATTATTTAAAACAATAGATGTAGGACTGCGTTTACTGAGTCCGTTTATGCCGTTCATAACAGAGGAACTCTACCAACGTTTACCTCGCAAAAGAATGACGTATCCGAGTATATGTGTGAGTCTGTATCCGGACTGTGCTGAGGTAATTGTTAATTTCAATTAAATAAATCAACTAAAAATATATATATATATATATAAATCAAAATATGTATAAAATATTCAAATTAATATTTCATAAGCATAACGTTTTTTGATACATTCAGTGTCATTGGAGAAATCAAGAGATCGAAAAAGACGTCGATTTTGCGCTAAAAGTAGTTAAGCACATCCGATCTACACGCGCTACTTATAATTTGCTCAATAAAATAAAAACCGAAGCGTTTGTCGTGTGCACCGATTCGTCTTTGAAGAAAAAGATAATACAATACAAGTTACTCATAGACACTCTCGCATATTCTACTCTTAGTATGGAAAAACCGCTAGCAGGATGTGCTATCATCACTATAACTGATAAGGTTCAAGTGCATCTCTTACTTAAGGTAATTAACAAGTATATATTTTTTACACATTTACGTTTTAATCATTTGCTGCGTTCAGTAAAACAAAGCTGCTTTGTTGCAATTAAACGTAATTAGCTTTTACTTTTAGAACTAACGGCGAACATTGACAATTCAGCTCAATTTTGCTGAACGCGGCCATTATATATAAATATACACTTATATTAATATATACTTCAATTTAAAGGGTTCAATCGACTCAAAAAAAGAGCTAGAGAAACTACAGAAAAAGGAAAGACAATTGATTGAAACTATTCAGAAGTTGAAGCAGGATTTAGCTGTACCCGATTACGATATAAAAGTACCTCTTGATGTTCAGAGGAACAACACAGAGAAACTGGCAAACAGCGAGGGCGAATTGCAACGAATAAATGATGCAGTAATGTTATTACGAACAATGTAGAAAGTAAATACGATAAAATTTTATCATAACATTTTCATCCATTATCGTATAAGTTACTTATTTATTAAACAGTTTAACAGTAAGTAACTTATTTATTAGCTTATTTAAAAAAGGCAAACCGAATTTAGTTAGACACAATTATGCTTTTGTCTCTTTTTTTTAAAGGAGATAAATTCATTACTATAAAAAAATTGTTGAAAGTAAAAATATTAACTAAGAATTTAGAGGAGCATTTTTCTGTTCGTTTGTTAGTATTCATGACGAAAATGATCGAAATTCGATCAAAGTTTCTATTTTTTATTTAATATGCGTACATGTATTATATAATTCAATAAAAATATATTTTATCACACATACAAAACAACAGATGAGGTTGCATTGTGATCCTTTGAATTCTTAGTTACGATTCACACACATACACATCACTGTCTGTGACATATGTATGTACGTGTATGACACCATATGTCGTGTACACAGTAAAAAGGAAATGATAATAGTATTAAAGTTTTCTTTTAAAACCGTTTCCTTCGTATATACAAAGCATTATAAAATATTAGAAAAGTATGTACTATATATATATATATATATATATATATGTGTGTATATATATATATATATAATATATATTATATTGTAATTTAAATACATGACGCGTGAGGATTGAGGAACAATGCGCGGCGCGCATTTTATATATCATACTTAGAGCAGTAGTTTCCAATATGTAATACAATACGAAGGAAATAGATATACACAAATAAATAAATATAATGTTCCATAAAGTAAAAGTTTAATTTCTTGCATTAATTTATTATATAAAGCATTGCCAATAAATCTGCAACAATCGTTAAAATTGATATACCCAATATCTAACAATAATAATTTAACAATTAGTATTAAACTGAGAACCTCAGGGCTCTTGAGTCTTTAAACTTAGTCGATGAATATAATTGGTCGTATAGAGCCGTTCGCTGGATGTTTGTGCGGAAGAAATGTCTATATATGTATATATATACACGTTTGCATATATATAAACGAATTCACATTTTTCATGTGAGTTTTTGTATATATATTTAGACATTTCTTCCGCACAAACATCCAGCGAACAGCTCTATACGACCAATTATATTCATCGACTAAATAATAATTTAAATAATAAAATTGTATTCGTTTTCGTTTTTTTACTATCTGCACTCGTTCTTAGCGCTAGTTGGTTACGATTCTAAATGGATATTTGGTACGATTGGTTTTTTTTTATAAAATAATACTCGCATAATTGAGTATTCAGTGAAAATTTTATAATTAAAAATTTATATATATAATATTAACTTAGAGATTGTAAGAGAGAATATAACAGTATTATGCAACATAAAGTACTGTTATTTTTATAATTACAGTGTTTTTTGCGGCTTGACATTTTAATTATGTGTAATAATTGACATTAAAATGTAGAATTACAAATGTGGAATTCAAATGTTGTGTTGCTTCAAATTGATACATCATCTTCTTGAGTCCTTTTGTTTATATATGTACAACTTTTTTAAGTTAAAGATATATATATATATATATATATATATATATATATAAAACAATAACATAATATTTTTGCAAAATCTGCTCATCAATGAATAATGATTTTGATGGAAAACACATTGGTCGAACAGAAGTAAAAAAAAAAAATCACATTTAACACTTTGATCGCCCAGATTAGATTGAGTATGTTTCCCGCGAGGCTCGAATCCGCGAATTATCGCGGTAGCATATAAAGTTGCTGACAACAATTTGTTTTTAACTTGTCTCTCTAATACACTTGGAACTGTTTATAAACAACTGACTTTATAAAGTCCGAATGAAGCTTCTGAATTCTTTCGTTACTTTGTTTGCTTTTTATTCGGAAGCCAGTCATTTTCATATATATATATATATATATATAATAACTGACATCAAACTATCCAGAGTGTAGTTTCTTTCTTGGAATATAATATTATATATTTTTTTTTACTTATAATCTTTCTTTTAAGTACATTACAGTTTTGTATATTGTTGCTAGTAAATACCTTTGTTATTATTAAAAACTTTTGCAAATTATTTGTAAAATCCTGTTAATTAGATGAATTAAACTATCATCCATATTTGAGTGACGCGGCGATCAATGTGTTAAAATGTGTGCATAATATATATATAACAGCTATTATATAGGCCTTTATAACAAAACATGTACAGAGGAGGTATAAAACTTTTGTTTACAGGAAGCGCGGAATTTCGGCGGATATAACTGTATGCGTAGAAAGACAATTGTTGGCTAATTCCCATGATCTTACAAGGAATAAATATATATAATGATGTGTAATTGTTGGCAATAGTGATACTAGTGTTCTAAAATGCGTAACAAGATGATGCTAATGACGTATTTACAATTATGATATGTATACTGATGCGGTTACTCAAACTTCGTCCAATTGTTCTGCGACTTAATAGCAGACGCGTTCAGCGTGAAATTGAACGTATCCATTGTATCGATATTACTAATACTGTTATCGGGTATACTCCTAGACGTAGACGTGGCGGACTCACTCTTCGTAGAGCTATCACCATTGGCCAAGCTAAATTTATTAAAATCTATACCGTACGCTTGCAATAAATCCATGTCACCCATATTATCGGAGGCCTTCGGCTTGTCAAGATTTTTGTGCGACGGCTGCTGAAAATACGGATACAAGGGGTTACTGAGACCTTCGCTCATTTCAGGCAGATGCAATGATTGACTCATTTGCTTTGTGCTCGACACCTCGGACGATTTTGACAGAAGGGGATCGAAATCGTCGCTGCTATTAGTTGAATCTAAACGTATTAAATCCGGTACTTCAGGTGAGTCCTACAAAAAAACAACGCTTTGATATAATACCATTCGATTGATCAAATGCAAGTTATTTTCAACAAAGTTGGTAAAAACAACTTTTCACAAAGCTGCTATTTTCTCTCAATCGTAATAATTGAATTTATGTGCCGAAAGATTAAAACAAAAAAATTTACCACAGTCAAAAGGCATGGACAACACAACAGCGGAAATAATACAAATACGAAGACAATATTACATAAAATGCAGATTTACCGAGTCTTTCAGAAAATAAGACTTTTGTTTTCAAATCGAATTTTGAATTTTTTCTATTGTGCTGAGAACTGTGAAATTTTACCATCAGATGTTGTAATTTTACATACACTTCTAATATACTCTCTCTTACTCGGTAAATCTCTTATGCACTCTAAATACTATATATTCATATGTACTTTACCCAAACAATCACATGTAAATTTGATCAGAATGTTTTATAAAAAAAAAAAAGATTATGAGCGATGATGTTTACCTTAGCATGTGCAGAGCAGGATGTAGTATTGTATGGATGTGACAATGGATGAAATTGAACGGGCATCGAGGGAACAGTGGATTTGTAAAGTGGTGCACTTTGCAAATAGGTAGGTGTGAACACTTTACTCGTATCAAAAGGATCATCCTCGTTCACTTCGTGAAGAAAATTCGACGTTTTGTAAGATCTATCGACAGACTCATTGTCCCATGCATTCAGGATCGAATCGGTATTCGCAAAAATATCTTTGAAATTGAACGCTTTATCATTTGAAGAAAATTTCTCTTCCGACTGAACGTTCTCTCTGAACGATGATTTCATCACGTTGTTACGTGCGTGTAATTCGTGCAAAAATCGATTGGACTCGATACTTCGATTGCATGATGCGAGTGATACCGGCAGAAGTGACGATTTATCTACTTCATTCACAGTTCTGTTTGACTTTGCAGTTAATGAATTCAACATAAGCGTTCTCGATTGATCGATTGATTTATCCGAAAAGGAAGGATGAAAAGAGGAGGAGGAGGAGGAAGTTAAAACCGGCCTCGCGGAAAGAACTTCGTATGGATTTGCAATGACAGTACTAGGTGGAGGGCCGTGCCGTAATTGCCCACTCCATGCAGGTCTCAAGCTGTCTAAACTGCGTACTGGTTTCAACTGAAAGTGATGCATGACAAGTTTTTTACTCCTTTTCTTTATAAGGATTTAAACTGATACGATTTATGAAATACCTAAACATTAATGTATACTAGAAGTCGTCAAAATGACGCATGCATGTGATGACACATATAAAAAACTACTTTGTTTAAAATATCCTTATCAGCCAGAAATAAATATTATGTGCCATTATTATTTTATGATATAGGAGAGAATAGAGTGCACAGAATAAAAATTACATGACAACGATGAATATGTATATTTTGAGCAATTTTTTGATATTATCGGTGAAACAAAATTTATCTAACTACTTTATCAAAGTCAGTGCATTTAAGATGACTTGTATTTCAATCACTAACAATTTCATGGATTTCTAGAAAGTAACATTGATGGAAAATCTTGGGAGGAGATGTTTCAAGATACAAGCATGCAAAATATTTTCTACTAGACGCATCTCTTCTTATATTTCTATAGCTATAAATAAACTATAAATTAAATATATGAAGACGCGTGCTGAATATGACTGTTTTCTTTCTCTTGTAACATATATATGAAAGTTACAATATAGTGCTTTGTATAAACATCAAAAAAACAAATCACAAGAAGCAACAGAAATCGACATCCAAATTAATGCATGGCGAACAAATAATTAATTGACGAAATAAATTAGCGTATTTTTAAATTTGCATCACATAAGGTTTGTTTTATTTCCTTGCACTCTGGCTGCATTTTAGTTCACATTCTATCTTTTTTTATCCATATTAGAAGGAAAAAGAGACTGAACTAGTGCAGCCATAGATTACAGGGAAATAAAACAAACCTATAAACTGCGCAACAATCAATTTAAAAGTATATAAGATTATATATGTGCGATATTAAACTTGAAGAGACTAGTTATCTTATCACTTATATGTCTCTGTGTGATTTTTAACATTTGATGATATTATATATAAATTTTTTTTTAATTTTTGGATTATAAAAAAAGATGTTACATAAATAAACTGCTAAAGAAAACGTACCGTTCGGTCTACAGGAGGTGTATTTGGAAATATCACATCTCGTAGCTCGTGCATAAGATCTATATTTAGGCGTTCCGGTGGAGAGTCCGATTCTTCCGGCGAACTGGGGTTTAGAGGTGAGTATTGTTTCCTACTGCAATAAAAAATAACGGAGATTTTGCTATCTTGTGTAAAGGCCCGTTTATATGGGCAATAATCGTACTATAGGATTTCAATTACGCATTCGGCAATTTTGTATAAACAGAAGCATTTAAATCCTATAGTTGAACTTTACCGGTTCCGGCATAAGTTAATGGTTATTGCCTGCATAAACGGAGCTTCAGAAATACTGTCGTTATAGTCATTTAACATAGAAATAAGTCAAGAGTTCAGTACGATCACTGTACAGACACGATTTGTACAGTAAAATGCATTATATCGCGCGCGATCAGAGAGAAAGTAGTTCTCCTTCAGTCACTTCCTACTACCACGCACAGTTCTCTGGCTTCTGGCAGCGGCTCAAGTTTCCGAGTCATATATCGGTGCAGTTACCGATAATATCGACGTTCGTGTATTATCATAATCACGAGCATCGAAAATCTAATAACGAACACTTTGCTATATTAAAACGCTCAAGGTTTAGATATTTTAACATGCACACACACATATAAAATATTAATTTTTCATTACAAGAAAACAATAAAGTTGATAATAATAAATATTATATTTTGCGCGCGCGCGTGTGTGTAGGAGAAGGAGAGTACGCGTGCACATATCAAGATATTTTAGATGTAATATTTTAAGTAAATTTATATCCCCCTCAATATTTTTTAAAATTATTCGCTTTCTGTGAACATGAAAAACTTGCCTACGATGAATGCAAACAAGTGAAATATATTTAATTAGTAGTAAGTAAAAGACTAAACTACAGTTTTATCTTATGATTAAAAAAACTATGTTTTATACGTTCATATTAAACTATCTAGAAATCAGTGTTTTATTAGCAAAATGTTTGTTATCAGATTTTCAAAAGAGTTATTTCTTTTCGTTGACGCGTGACATATTATAATAATACGAGTATCGATATTATATCGGTAATTCGCCGCTCGAATCTCGAGCCACTGACGGAGGCCGGAGAAGAAACGGCGTGTGAGAGATGACCAGAGAACTACTCTACCTGACTGTGTACGATATGATGCAACTTTACTATACAAGAGATACCTTGTATCTGTAAAGGCGCTATTTCTCAATCGCAGTTCCTTTCGGTAACTGGTTGTTGCCGACACTCCGTTTGGCGATTTTGGCGGAGGCGTAAATCCAACAGGCCTTCTATCTAACGTAGGCGAACTGGGAGCCGAACGTGGCTGCTGAAATCTCATACTCGTATCGCTTCGGTTAGACCGTCCTGTCGCAACAAAACAATTGTTTCAAAATCAATAACTGATATTCAACGACAATTAAAACAATGTGATATATAACAGAAAAAACATACCTTTCCACTTTAGTCCTTTGTATGCCGTCTTCATATCTTTCCCTTTGTCCTTCACCTGTGGATATTGATCTTTATAAATTATGTAAATATCTTTTGATATCTTTATATTATGTTTTTTTTTTTTTTGTCGTTAATAGATATAGATTTTCATATGCTTTTTACTTATACAAAAAAGTTGATTAAAACTATCATTTTCTATTTATGATGATAAAAACGATATAGTAAATAACATTCAAAGACATAAGAAATAAAACAACATTCGAGAATAATATATGCAAACTGATAGCTTTTAAACTTACTGATTTAACAGCATATTTTACTGCTGGATTGGCCTGTAATGAAGGGATCAGAAAAATAAAACAACACTACTTTGTATACCTGAACATATAAGAGAAAGAAAACACAAAGTCTCAAGTTATACTGTGTGATACGATACTACAATATGATCTAAATTAATTATTAAACTTATCAAAACTTAATTAAAACTCTTAAATCGACCATTAAACTTATCGGAGATACCTTATCTTTCACGCTGCGGAAAAATGCCGAGCTTTCTTTTCGCATGGCGTACGTCCAGTCTCTGTATTGCTGCATAAATTTACTACTTGATTTGGCCGAATAACTGCACGCTTCCATTTCAAATTCATCTGAGAAACCGAGTCCCGAATTGAGCATGTTCAATCTTTCTTCTATAAACTGAAAATTTATATAATTTTAATTTATTATCAGACATATATACATGTCATATATACATATATATACAGAGTGTCCGACAATTGATTTAACATCTCTCGTAGGCAGGTAGATAGAGTAAAACTGAATCGAAAAGTCCTATATCACTTGCGAGATTCACAATAGTTATATAGAGAGATCTTAACAAAAATTTGCAAATAAGCGTGCATCGAACTGTCTTACGTGCGTAAATTATTGCGAATCTTGTAAAATAATATAGGATTTTTCGACTCAGTTTTACTCCTTCTACTTGTCTACGAGAGATGTTAAACCAATTGTCGGACACCCTGAACACACACAGTTTGAAAAATTTTTACCAAGTCGAAGTATAAAGATTAATCTAAATCACTTATGTACCATTTTGCAAAAAATTTGCAATAGTTATTGAGTTATATTAATTAACTCTTTTGCTACGGCAGACTTTGATACCGCGCACGGCATACGGTAGGAGTTCAACCGCGACCTACAGTCTGATCTAAGTGATGAAACTTGTTGCAATCATTGCCGATATTTGGTAAGCGCTTATATAGGTGTTTCTAGTTCGCTCCGAGCAATTTGAAGTGGGCGTCTATAGGCGCCTTTCGTGTCAGCGGATCAAACTAAAATGGCCTATAGTACGTCGAAAGCAAATTTTCAAAGTGCCTTTAGAAGCCAACAGTAGCGAAAACGCAGCCTAATATGTGTGATCAAATGAGTGCATAGAAAACGATGGTCTGGACTTTGTAGGCATATATAATTTTCACAGCACAGTACAACTGAAAATCATACTCGCCTGCAAAGTCCGGACTATCGCTTTTCACGAGCACATTGGCTAACAATCATTAATCATTAACTTAAGAAATACTGCAAATTTTGTAAAATGTTAAGTGATTTTTCTGTTTCGGATTGACTTGATCTATTTTCATATTTCAACTTAGCCAAAAGTTTTCAAACATACTGTAAAAATATAATTAACTTTCTGACTTTCTCGCATATACATACTTGTTGGAAAATTTGTAATTCTAACATTTCCCGTAGAAAAGGCTGCATGGAAGACGGCCTACTTTCGACGAAAACATCTTTATTGAACGTGATACGTTCACCTTGCTGTAAGGTTAACGCTTCTCTATAACCTGCAGTTAATTGCACCAGCGCGCGCAAGAACGCTCTCGAGACACCATCTCCAAGAAGAGCCGATCTATTCCGTAGAGCTTTTTTCAAATTCGTTACCTGCAAAATATCGAAGCTTTTTATTTTATTATTTAGAGCATACACAGTATATGTACTTCCTCTTTTAAGAGTATTTTTTGTATTATATATATATTAAAGTGTATTACGCACTACGTCTTGAGGTAAGGATTCCAGATCTTGAAATGGTGACTCGATTGTGTTATTATCGGCATCTAAGATAACAACGTCCCCTAAATCACTCTTGGGTACTTTCTGCAAAGAAAATTACAGAATAATATATTTTTATATAGTAACGATATATGTTCTTTGTTGACAAAAGATCTCTGTTACACGAATACCTGAAGCGTTGATGTGGGCAAACCTATCAAAAACGGCATAGGCGCTAATAAATAATCTATTAACGATAAAGGCAGAACTGGGATAAATATATGCTGCCAAATCATAGGATAAATTAAAGCGTTGCACGCCTGTACACAAGCGCTCAGTCTCGACAGCCGTTTTGAAATAAAAATAATACGTCGCTCGTATAACATAGACGCGAATATTTGCATCATATTGTGTGAATCAACAGCGCTATAGTATTCAGTCAAGTTTTTCTAAAAGATAAAATTAAAGACAGATTTTGGTAAGTCAATTATTATATAACAATTATATAGACTTTATGCTGGAAACGTAAACTTACATTTTCCGGGATGCTAGGCAATTGGAACTGCTTTGGACTTTCACAAATAAAATTCTGAAAGAGTAACACATATGCAGTAGAAAAAATTTAATTAAAAAAATGTTACAAAATATTACAAAACAATTTATATATTATGCACAAGCATATAAATGTTGTTAGAAATGTATATCATATTATGTACTTGATTTTGTAGTAATAACAGATTTAAACAATAAACTATTTACCATTGTAGAATTTGGTAACGGAATCGATATAGAGCTTCCAGGAATTGGAACTCCACAAGTATATATGTTTTCAAGAAAGTGCCACAAATCTTCTCCACTAGCATGGTTGGTTAAAGATGCAATATGATTTAGTAGCCTATAATACATAATGCATTTTTAACATTTCGACTTCCAAAAAAACACACTCGAGAGAATTCTATAAACTAATATACAAACTTGTAAAATGTTTCGTGCCATGGGAGTGCACTCAGGACCACCAGAGCTGTTTCCCTTTTGGGATCGTGGCGACAAAATCCAAAGGTCCATTTAGAATCTATACTAGTGAGCACAAATGAGAAATGTTGTACCAATACACTGAAAATAACAAAACAATGATATAATAAAAAAGATACATAAAACCATACAATTTAATAATATTACTTGATGTTAACATACTTTTCAAATTCGCAAGGGTATGTGAATTTAGGAACAGACTTAAGTATTTCTTCATCTGAAAAAGTATTGGGGTATTTTTGAAGTATCCAAGCTGGCTTCTCTCCTACTGGAGCAGCTACCTCACAGAAACATTCAAAAAGTTGTTTGACATTTTCCCTGAAAACACATTGAAGATTCCAATATTTACACAGTTCAAGAGTAAGAATCAAAAAGATATTTCAGAAATGATTGATAATAGTTTTTTTGTAACAATTCTACAGATGATTCTTCCAAAGAATAAATTGCATAAAATTATTCAACACATGTTTTTTTTTTTTTTAGAAAGAACACTCCACTCTTATAGTATTGCGAAACTAGCCGAGTGCAACACAAAAACGGCAGACCACGCTTCCGTTGCTATCTCTTATTGGAGAAATCGTCGGTAGATTCACTAGAGACATACTTGCCTCAATCTCGATCCCATGATAACAGTTAGAAAAATATAAGTACTCCGTATAATATTGACAGCTATATGTCATCGTACTGTTATATGCGACATATTCCGCATTTCTCACGTGAGTTTTAAAAAAATTTCGGATATTGCCAATCTCGCTCTGATCCTCAGTAGTCACGTTTTCCTAGATCTTGTGTGTCTTCCAGAGATTCTTTTCTTTTCTGTCCTCAAATTGGAAAACGTGGAAGATCACCGCCTATCGCACGACATGAAATCGGCAAAGTGAGACAGAGAAGATACGTATACACACATATATCACACGTTTCTCGTATGGTTAAAATCAAAGTAAATTTGACAAGCATAGGTCACATCATAGCAATTACAAACTTTGTATCCACGTTTCAATTTTCTCGGATCGTAGACACAAAGAAGCTTAAATTAAAGGGTTGTTTTCAAGCGAAAGGAAACACACTAGGATAACAAACTAGGAACTTTTGTCTAGATTGTCAGATTATTTCAGGTGTAACAACTTCGCGCGAGATTAAAAAAATTAATTTATTTAAACACAAATTTTTTCTAGTTAAAATTTTATTACGCAATTAACTATACTATTAAACATGTACATAATAAAAATATTCATATGATATATCGTAAGACATAATTTATTAAATATATGATATATACACGTATACATATATATATACATGTACATATTTGCTAATTTTTCATTATTTATAATTGTTACTTCCCCTTATTCGAGTCTCGTATTTTCTCTGCAACACAGCACAGCTGCATTATTTAAATTTTTATTATATTATAAATACAGTTATGTACACATGGTCACTAAGAGAGGCGATGACAAGTTTACATGCGCGATTAAAATCTGTTCATCAAAATTCATAAGCATAACGATGTTCATCAAAATTCATAAGCATAACGAAACGAATGATTCACACTAGCTGTTGTTTTACTGAACTGGATCAGTCTTCTTATTCGTATTTCGTAAATCAAAAAAACAAACTTGTGCAAACTTTCGGAAACTTCAAATAGTGTCGGCAAACTAAATCGATCAATATAAAAGCAATCCCCGCGCATAGTGGTGCCACATATCACCTCTTAAGTGTCCTTTTTAAACTGCAGATCGTATTCCACATCGAAGAAATAACATTTCTGAAATAGAAAAAAAGAAAGACACATCTCAAAGACACATCCGATTCAAATTGTTGAAACAAAAATGATACATTATTTTAAATTGATAAAACAACAATTTTCAACTTACTACAGAAGCATCGTCGATGGATTTTCTATCATTTCCTTAAAGGCAACTAACCATTGCGCACCTACCGCGCCGTCAACGGTGCGGTGGTCACAACTGGCAGTTACCGATACAAATTGGGCAGTTATGAATCTGAAAATACAAATTCACAAATTAACTCTTTACAAAATAAACAAGAAAAGTTTACAAGGGTAATAATCACGCAGTGATTTACCCTTTCTCAGTTTTGGCAGGTATCAGTCTCGTTTCTGTAGTGCCTACAGCGAGAATGATAGACTGTGGTGGATTGATTATGGCAGCGAAGTTCTTAATTCCGAACATGCCCAAATTGGACACAGTAATTGTTCCACCTTGGAACTCGTGTGGCTTTAATTTTCCTTCTCTCGCTTTCGCGGCTAGCGTCTTTACATCTTTACTGATTTGAACTAGACCCTTTGTGTCAGCGTTGAACACTATGGGAGTGATTAGACCAGCGTCTGTGCTTACTGCTACACTAACGTCTACACTGTGATATCTGAAAGATGATGACGTGTCGCAAAAATCAAATTTATCAAATAGCGTTATTATTTCTAATAATAATGTTACTCACTGTCTAATTACATTTCCTAACCAGGCGCTATTTCCTTCCGGTACTTTTTTACAAGCCATAGCCATTGCCTTGATAATAATATCGTTCACGCTGATTTTGATTTTGTCTTTTTCTAACATTTTGTTGAAGTGTTCCCGCATCGTCAGTGCAGCGTCCATTTTTACGTCCATCGAGAGGTAATAATGCGGTATCGTCTGCTTACTTTCTAATAACCGTTTGGCGATAACCGCTCGTATATTTGATACAGGAATGTCTTCGCTAGCTGATGCGCCAATCAGCTCCGCTCGCGGCCTCGCAGCAGCTGCTGGAACAGCAACTTCCAGATCTTTGGACGTGACAGAACCATACAATCCTGTTCCTTTCAGACCCTGAGAAAGAACAGAGTAGCGCAATGTGTAAAGAGAAATATATTTTTAATATATTTCATATCTAGTTTGATATCGACACGAATTTACGATATAGATATAAATGTTCACTCAAAACTGAAATCGAAAAAATAAAGATAAACACGGGAATATTTTGGTTGATACTTGTTTTTGACTTAAGAACCGACAATTTTGTAACACCTGTAAATTAAGTCCTTTTTCAGCCGCCAACCTTCTTGCTAGTGGACTAGCGTATATTCTGTCATCAGGAGATGCTGAAATAGGAAGAGTCGAAGTTGCTGATGGCATCGATGGTATAGGCGTTGGTGGCGGTGTGACAGAAGGAGGTGATGGTACAGCAGCTGCGGGAGGAGGAGGAGGGGGAGGAGGAGAAGCAACTGTATCGTCCTTAAAATCCTTGAATGCAGCTACGCTTGTTTCATCTTGAACAATAATGCACACAAGCTTGCCTATGGGAACATTTTTTGTTCCCGCTGGTACTAGGATCTTTGCCAAATAACCTTCCTCCGGAGTCTCAAATCCCATTGTAGCTTTGTCAGTTTCAATCTCTGCCAGCAAATCACCCTCGTTTAACTTGTCACCTAATAGAAGGAAAATAAAAAAAAATGTAAATATTTGTATTAAAACATCTGTCTATATATGTACTTTTATCAAATACATAATCTACATCACAGTTGCATTACAATATTTTTTGGAAACTTTACCCTCTTTCTTTTGCCAACTAATTATTGTCCCTGTTTCCATAGTGGGAGACAATGCTGGAAGCGGCACTTTGACATGATCTGGATAATCTGCATAAAATCTCTGCTGTTGCTGCCATGGTGTCAAAGTAAAACGTAGAGCACTTTGAAGCTGAACTCTAAATGCAAAAAGAAACACAATATTATTTTGTTGAGAAAACAATTATGTAAGACCCACGATACCCTGATACTTGCTGTGATAAAAAATTAATTTACAAACTAATCAGTAAAACAATTCTGCGTGTAAAGTCGCGTGAATTGTGAAATTACAATGGAACCTCGTTTATCTGTGGAACGACTTGAGGCCCAACTTCTATTATACAGACCGATGGTTTGTATTATAAGAACTGATAGTCTGTATAATATATGGTTTAAAATGTGGTTTTTATTATAAGAACCGATAGTCCGTGTAATAGAGGTTGGGCCTTGGTTAGCTGAACTATTTTGTCCCTCGATCTTGTCCGAATAAACGAGGTTCCACTGTGAACGTGAAAATAACCTTAAAAATTGTCTCTGTTCACGGGATTTAAATGATCCGCAGCGAGATTCAGACGCGAGAACGAGTCTGGATTGCAAACGAATTACCTCTGCTGATGTTTTCTGTGAAGACACCAGATGACCACGGAGCGCAAGGTAGTGATTCGGACGGAATCGCAGAAGACTGCGCGTACCAATCCGTTACGTAGACTCGACGTGGTTCTTATCATGTCTGCGGGGTTTTTCGATGATGCTCGTTTCACGAGCCAGTCCAATATCCTCAGCAAGTCCAAGAGTTTACCCGCGTGACAATTAACGACAATCCGTCCGTCAACAAACTTCAGGGTGCGACGATCGGACAGGACCAGATGACGGTGTTAAATGCCGAACTAGAGGTCGTCGACAAGGTCACGTGGCTTCTCGTATCTGTCTAAGATTTTTAGATCACTTGACGCTGAGATTCTTGCTGTTTTTGGAGACATATTATATATATTTACATATAAATTTTGATATATATATTATATATATATATATATATAATATGTAATTTACACACATATTAATGGCACACATCATGTATATGTTACACATATGCATAAATTCTTGATTTCTTTTTAAATCTAAATTCGCCTTCACGTGACCAGTCAGGCGACTCAATATTTTATCATTGAAGTCGATAGATTTATGAGTTTTATAATTGTATAAAATATATAATTCTTTCTCAAAAAAATTTAAATATAAATATATATATGTCTCCAAAAACAGCAAGAATCTCAGCATCAAGTATATAATATGTATATATATATATGCACTTTGATAGTCAAAATATATTTATAGAATTGTACTTGAATGCGCTTAATTTTGATACGCTCTTTTATAAGTTATATATTTAAAAATGTTTCTTCGTATATTCCACGAAGTAAGAGGTAAGGAGATCGAACTTGGGCTGCGGTCCGTTTCATGCTCAAGCGCACATTTATCTATAGTATACGTGACATATATTATAGATAAATGCGCGATTAAGCATGAAACGGACCGCAGCCTTGATAGCGCGCGAATGGAAAAAGTGGTCCCGATTTTTAAGGCCATCACACATAAAATTACTTAAGACCGTAAGACGTAACCGTAAGGAAATTAACCAATCAGAAATTTACGTTCGAAAGTGATGGCGACATAGTATACATTCTGATTGGTCAATTTTCTTACGGTTACGTCTTACGGTCTTAAGTAATTTTATGTGTGATGGCCTTTACGGCTCATTGGGAGGAAATCCGCTCAAGGGAATAGTTTTTTTACGGTTGGACGCCATTTGCAATTTAAAACATAACCTGACCCACGAAGTAAGAGCAGTGCTTTCGCAAAGTCGCGTTTTTGCGCACGCGCACTGCGCTGCTAGAAGAAATCAGTAATATATATATATATATATATATA